TCCCTAACACCTACATTCTTCAAAAAATCTTCAAAATTATATTTTCATTCTCTTTCACTCACTATGTCTTAGTGGCATTATCGCCTTGCTTGAGGAGAAATGATTAAAAAGACACTACTGCCTTTACTTATTAAATAACAGTATTTGTCCGAATCACAGAGGACTCTTTTCTGTGTCTACTATTTGTGAACTGGGTCAGGAATTGGCTGGTCAAATTTAATGCCTCAAAAACAAAACTGTTCTCTATTAATCACCACAGAGATCCTTCCCTGCCCTCCATTACAATGTCGGACGTTCAACTTCTCGAGAGCACCTCTCTGCGACTGCTCGGTCTCACGTTGGCTGCTGACCTGAGATGGAATAAATACATTGAGTCAGTTGCTTCGTCCACTGCAAGGAAAGTTGGCTCCCTGTGCCGCACCAGGAAATTTTTCTCCCTGGAATTGATACTTCACATCAACAATTCGCCCTTGCATGGAGTATTGCTGCCATACATGGTCTGGAGCCCCTTCTGTTTGCATCGGGGTTCTTGATAAGCTCCAGAGGCGGATATGCAATATAATTGGCCCTGTTCTGGCAACTCGTCTACAGTCACTCTCTCACAGACGCGCTGTCGCCTCTCTCTGTCTGTTTTACAAATACTTTCATGATAATTGCTCCGAGGAGCTGCATTCGCTGGTCCCAGACTTCATGAGTTCAAGCGCCCTACGAGGCTGGCATCCCACTTTCACACTTTCACTGTCGAAACTCCTAAATGTAGCCGTTTCTTCTACTCCAATAGCTTCATGTCTCACACCTCTCGCCTGTGGAACTCCCTTCCTTATTCCAGTTTCCCTGAGAGATATAATCTCCAACTATTCAAATGTAATGTTAATCGACATCTCCAGTTGCCTTCTCCTTCTCCTCATCCTTTCCTCTATCACTCCTATCTGATCTTGCTCCAAATCTTCTGTAATCCCTTGCGTCCTAGTGGCTTCCCGCCTTGCTTGGGGTGAAACGCTTTAAAAAAAATACAGAATATCACCTTGTTTAGAAGGAGGTCGGTCTTTGAGATGACTACTAGCCGTTCATATTACTTCTATCTTGTATTTCATGTTGCTTTAAGGTATTCACTTTTCATCTAGCGTCAAAAGTTGTTTCTAAAGCGGAATATTTAAATACGTTCAATGGGATATTTCTTCTTTCTTTTTTACTTAACATTTATGCATGGGGTGTATTAAGGGGATCATTATTGTCAAGATGGCGCAAGTGATTTTCAACGGTTGACTGAAATATTTAGAATATACTGGCTATCTTCAGCGTTGTATAATGTTATTCTCTAGTGAAATCTTCATTTGATCGTTGTCAACATCAAATCGCCCACTCTATTTTGGAGCATCGTTCAACGAGAAATCTCGAGAATGAAATTTTGCAAATTATTTTTTTAAGTTGTATCATTCACATTGCTATTTTTATTATTAACAATCGGACAACTCTGAATTCAAAACTGGATTGGCGTAGTGCTAGCAACCTCACCTTGTAAAAATCTACTGGCTTCAGAAACCCTAGCATCAGCATTTAGTGGCCCTAGATTCTACAGTGTTAAAGAAAGAAGACACCTCGGTATGTATCTTTATATAGAGGAGAGCAACATTCCCCAAATTGTAATGATTAAATTAACATTTACTTTTTTAAGTATGAGACATTGACAGTGAATCGATCATAATCTAACCTAGTATATTAAATAAAGGGGACAGTCATCCGCATGGCTTGTGCGTGATACCCCTGAACACAACAGCCGGGAGGGGGCAAGTCTTATTGGGGGGCGGGGCAGTGCTTCGTGAGACTCGCTATCTTATCAGCATTTGCTTTATTCTACCTACATTTATATACATTGTGAATTAAACTAAACACAACCGACTATTAGTATTAAAGGATGGAAAATATCTTGACGTAATTTGGGGTCTTTCTTCCCTCCCAATCTGTGAATTTGTTTTGCTCATGCTAAAGCTGACAAAATACGCGATATGAAATTCACTATTTTTTATTCATAATATTGAATGTATTAAAACATTTTAACGGGAAACATCTGAAGTTGATGTTAAGAATTGCCGAAGAACATTGTTGATTTATTAAGGATAGAATTATCTACTTTCTTTTTGTTTCCATTTTCCCTAGAACTTCGTCGTTGCTTACATATTCGATTCATGGTATCTTCAGCAAGCTTCCGTAGAATCTAACTTCTGCTACTTCAAGAATCTTCTTCATCTTTGTGGGGATTGTGGGGACTGATATTGAGAAAGAGTTGAGTACTATTTTCTTTGTTTTAAATGAAATTTTCCTGTTTCTTAATACTTTGCTTAGCTTTTTGGAAGGCATATTTCGCTATACAATGCGCCTTCGGTTTTCAGTGCCACGCTTTCCGGCCTCTATTAAAACACTTTCCAGATAATTAAATTGTTTCACGTGTTCGATTTGTAATTTGCATACTTGAGCTTAAATATGAACTGAGGAGACTGAAAACAAACACACGGTACTCTTGGATATCAAGATATCACGCTGAATAAATTTTAAGCGTCTTAGTAACTGTGATATGCTTTCGTGATTGAATAAAGAAATGTGTAAACGAGATGACAACAGTTGTGGCTGAATGAATTAGAGAACAAATCCAATCCCGAATGATTACATTTTCTCCTCACTGAATCTTCCATTATTGTGGCCTTGTGCTCAACTAAGTTAACCCATCATCATCATCATCATCATCATTATCATTACCATCGTCGTCATCATCATCATCATCACCATCATCACCATTCGCTTAGTGCATTATAATGATAACCAAATATTTTAAGCTTTTCGCTTTCCTCTTGGAGTCTTTCAGCACCCACGATATGTTTGTACAGTCACACCAGTTGGATTTGAACCTGAGCGGAGAGAAAAACAACGGAATGTGTGGGTGAGGAGGATGTTCTGGGTGCAAAATTACAAAAGGACGAATGTTCTGGCTGGGTGGGGGATTTAAGTATATGAAAATACGACAGCCACCCAAGATTCAAAAGGCTGTAATTGGGGTAGGTAACGGGTCGTAAGAAATTGAAGAGAAATCAGAAAAGAAGAAGAGGTTGAAATAAAAAAAATAAGGTAATTGTGTGTGGGCGGGTGTGTGGGGAGTCGTTATTTCTCTTTTTTACACGCGCTTTTACACCTTGACATGTTTAATCAAAATCCATTATTAAAGTACTTCAGAAGATGAAGAGTAAACATAACTGATTTTATCGACAAATAGATAGATAGATAGATAGATAGATAGATAGATAGATGTGTTTGTATGTGAGAGAGGGTGATAGAGAGAGAGAGACTATATCAGCGTGGTTAGAACGTTCACTTTCCGACCAAGTGACCCGGGTCCGGATTTCAACCTGGTCGATTTGCCAGCAAGGTGACTTCTTGGTGTTATTGTCCTGAGGAGGCCATCCCAGCGTGCTGAGCCTTTGGAAAGTTCCTGAAAATCATACCAAGGGGTTGACCTTGAGGCCTTGTGAGTGAAATTGAGTAGACGGAAATGTTTGGAATCCGTCAATGGTCTTGCTAGCACTGAGTAATAAGTCATCGTAACTGGTGGCTCAAATGTACTGGCCTTGCTTAAACTGTTGATCATGCCAGGTTTGTGTTCTCTCCCAGAAATTGTAACTAAGGCTCACCTAGCGTATCTGCTGTATAAAGTACATGTAGCCTCTAAGCAACGCGATATTCATGCTCAGAATGTTATCAGAAAGAGAGCAACACAAATGCAGAAGGACGTGCACTTATGTTTTATAGAGGTGTTCGACAAAGTACGCCACAAAGATCTGTTGGAACTACCCGGCAACCTTGATATATTACGGAAAGATATTAGAATAATCAAGAACCTATACTGGCGGCAATTGCCTGCATTCGGACAGAGAATAAGTTCAGGAGATATACAAGAAAGATGCGTAAGGCAAGGATGTGTCTTCTCACCGGATGTGAGGCAATTCTGAGAGAACTGGTAATACTATCAGGATTCATCATTGGCGGCCACAATCTTAACAACATACGATACGCAGATGACACAGTGTTGATAACAGATACGGAAAGGAAATTACAAAACCTCCTACAGCGAAGGAGAGCAAGAAGAAGGGACTACGTATAAACTACAAGAAGACGGAATTCATGGTCTTCAGTAAAAAGATGACCCCGAAATGCGATTTACTGGTCCAGGACACTTAAATCAAGCACGTGCGGAAATGTAAATATCTGGTAAGTGTTCTGACAGAGGACGGTAAGTGTGGCCTTGAAATTCGAAGACATTCTGGGATGGACAAAAGACGCATTCCAAAAGCTCAGTAGAGTATTACGAGACAGGAGGATTCCGTTGGTAAGAAAGAAAAGGCTCTTGAACTGCTACGCGATACCTGTCCTCCTTTATGGAAGCGAATGTTGGACGGTCTCCTCAAAGATGAAAAAGAGACTTGAGGCAACGGAGGTACGGTTCTACAGAAGGATGCTAAGGATACCATGGACCGAACACGTGAGCAACGATGGGGTTTTGGAGAGGGTGCATACAAGGAGGAAGCTTATACTTAACATCACGAAGAGGCAGCTGAAATTCCTGGGACACGTAATGCGAAAGGAGGGCTTGGAAAATCAGATACTCACAGGGCGGATAGAGAGAACAGGGACAGCAAGGCGTGACATACCTAGCGGGCTTAAGCAAGTGGATGGCAGAACAGGCTTTGAGAAAAGTAGCAAAAGGACAATGGATAGGGGGAAGTGGAGAGCCATGATCGCCTACGTCCTGAAGGGACACGGTACATAAAAGAATGAAGAAGGCACTATGGAAGTTGAAAAAGCGTTTGCAACAGGGATGGCTGCTGCTCGAACGAGGGCCCCACCATTATGATGGACGTAGAGAAACTAATGATGTCGATAACATAGAGAAAAGTTTTATCTTCATTCGAAATTTTTAGCAAATCGATATTTCACATTTTACATTGTATCGAATGAGTGACGTCATGTTCAGAACAGGTTTACAAAACTTGGCAGCATCAGAAAGCACATTTAATCTATCTATCTATCTATCTATCTATCTAAACCTATTCTTATCTCTATCTATCTATCTATCTATCTATCTATCTATCTATCTATCTCAACCTGTTCTTATCTATCTATCTATCTATCTATCTCATCTTATTCCTTCCTTCCTACCTACATATCTATCTATCTATCTCAACCTATTCTTATATCTATCTATCTATCTATCTATCTATCTATCTAAACCTATTCTTATATCTATCTATCTATCTATCTATCTATCTATCTATCTATCTATCTATCTCAACCTGTTCTTATATCTATCTATCTATCTATCTATCTATCTATCTATCTATCTATCTAATCTAACTATCTCAACCTGTTCTTATCTATCTATCTATCTATCTATCTATCTATCTATCTATCTATCTATCTATCTATCTATCTCAACCTGTTCTTATCTATATCTATCTATCTATCTATCTATCTATCTAAACCTATTCTTATATCTATCTATCTATCTATCTATCTATCTATCTATCTATCTCAACCTGTTCTTATCTATCTATCTATCTCATCTTGTTCCTTCCTTCCTACCTTCATATCTATCTATCTCATCGGGTTCCTTCCTATCTATCTATCTATCTATCTATCTATCTATCTATCTATCTATCTATCTATCTCATCTTATTCCTTCCTTCCTTCCTACCTACATATCTATCTATCTATCTATCTATCTATCTATCTATCTATCTATCTATCTATCTCATCCTGTTCCTTCCTACCTATCTATCTATCTATCTATCTATCTGTCTATTTATCTCAACCTGTTCTTATCTATCTATCTATCTATCTATCTATCTATCTATCTATCTATCTATCATCTTGTTCCTTCCTTCCTAGCTACATATCTATCTATCTATCTATCTATCTATCTATCTATCTATATAGCTGATCCTGTTCCTTCCTATCTATCTATCTATGCAGTTTCTTCTTTATTTATTTATTTCTTTGCTTCTTATATTCTTATCTACTTTTTATACTTTTTGCATTGGCTTTTTTGGGGGTAATTTTTTAAAATCATTTTTTCTTTTTTTTTTTAATTCAATCTATTTATTTTTCTAATTATCTGTTTTATATTTTATTTTAATTATTTTCTTCACATTTTAAAATGTCATCCTTGGTGATGAAAACTATGTAATACAGAAAGTTTATTTCGTAAAATAAAAGTTTAGAATTTTTTAACGTAAATACCCTGTAGTATTTTACAGTGGACTGATTGATTTATTTTTTTTACAGTTTCCCAACCCATTGTGGGTTCTTTACAGCCAAAACTTTTTTGGATTATAAAAATTGTTCTTTTTTTAAGAGTGAATATAGAACTAACAATATTTGTAAATAACAATAATCATTCCAAGTTGCTACCCATTGCACCACCCGCACATCCGATCCAAGTGGATACTAAGAAATTCTCAGGTTGTGTCATTTCACAAAACCTAACCAAAAGATGCAACTTGTGGGGAAAATCGTCTTTTGGCTGGACATTTTTAAATCCTCTCTCGCGCCCCTCCATATATATATATATATATATATATATATATATATATATATATATATATATATATATATATATGTGTGTGTGTGTGTGTGTGTGTGTGTGTGTGTGTGTGTATGTATGTATGTATGTATGTGTGTGTGTTTTATAGTAAAAAAGGAAGAACAGTAAGATATGTAATCCAGTGTTCTTGTTGATATTTTTATTTTTACAAAACAGTGCTCAAAAATTCGCTTGAAGATGAAACAGAACTAATGTTTTTAATTTAATATAATTGAACTTGAAGATTTTGTTTTCTGTTTTTGAAACATGGTAATTCATATGTAGCGATGAAACCATATTTTAAATCAGTTGATTTATAATATTATATATATATGTGTGTGTGTGTGTGTGTGCGTGCGCGCGCGTGCATGTGTGTATGTGTGCGTGTGCGTGTGTGTTTATCAAGCTCCGTCCGCAAAATACTCGTAGAAAATACTATAATAACCTCATCCGCATGTTAAAAACATGAAGGCGTTAATAAGAAAAAAGAAAAAAGCCAACACTCAATAATATAAACTATGAACACGGTCACAATGTGCTGACCGTGTTGGGAATATAATAAAAATTCATTCCCATCACTATAGATACGCATATATAAAAGGGAACACATTCAGTTAAAACATCTTTTAATCCCTGACAATGGCTAATAGAAGCGACGAAAGCGCTCGGAAATATAGAATATTTGAACATTTTTTGCACACTATATGTCCAGAAAAAAAAACATTGCAGATCCTTGCCACTCGACTTTTATTAAACTTGTATAAAAGAAGGATTGTTGCATAAATTCACAATTATGCAGTATCCGCCAAAAATATATACACATTTCAAGAAAAGAAAAACTTGTTTTTCGTAGTTTTATCAAATTGCGATAACACTGCTTATTCGAGAACGATATTTTCTCGACAAATTGAAAATGCATGTGCAGCATTTTGGCGGACTATATATATACATATATATATATATATATATATATATATATATATATATATATATATATATATATATATATAAGCAAGTGTAAATGGATATAAATCCGACAGAATGAAAAAAAATTTTGAAAAAACAAACAAAAAATCCTTAAATGTAGTTAAAATGAAAGAAAATGTCGACGTCTGACGTTTCGGTTTAATAAACCTTTTTCAAGACAATATTCATCAAAAATACAATTGAGTTGAATTGACAAATTTGATGGAATAAAACACAAGAAAAGTTTTGTTAAAATAAACTTCAGATGTCGATCATATTTCTTTCATTTAACTACATTTAAGGATTTTTGTTTGTTTTTTCAAAATTTCTTCATATATATATATGTATGGATTGGCTACTCGCTTTCGAATATTCCTCTTCGCCAGATTGAGAATTTTCCTGATACTGTCACACCCCAAGAGAAAATGTAATCTCCTAGCTATTCTGATTTGTATTCCATGGATTATTATATTTTGGTGCTGTACCAAAATATCGAAGTCCCATTGAATTCCGCATTTTTGCTGACGACCAGCATAAACCAAGAACCACCTCATCCTGGTATGCAGTCGCTGGTATGGCAGCATCGAAGCCTTCCTTGGGGATAACTTCTTCTTAGTTACCAGGCGTCCCCATATTCAAGAGGTGAGGGAATTTTTTCGACCTCCCAAGGAATGCTTCCTAAAAAAATTCTGATGTTTAATCCTTTGATCAAAATTAAGGAAGTGGGTTGGGCTGAAAAATCTACAGCAACCCGTCGATTATATATATATATATATATATATATATATATATATATATATATATATATAAAGGAAGAAGGTTATAGTAGTTCCAACGAGAGAAAAGTATGTATATTTAAAAGAAGAGAAAAACCGCAAACGTTTTTGGTTGTAATGTGGATTCTTTTTTTAAATATTATGCTTTATTTTCTATAATTTTGCTACACGAGTTTCTGGTCTCGCGACCCTCATCAGGCAAAGAGTGGAGATTTCCACATATTATTATTATTATTTTTCCCTTTATGTTTTTCGATGTTAAATATTCTCGGCATGAGACATTCTCTTTTTTTCTGTTAGTAACCCAATATAGTTTTGTCAAATAAACTTAAAACGGTTGATAATACAAGGCCAGTGATTCTCAAACTTTTTAAGCAACGGCACACCTAGGTGAAATGAAAATAAAAACGATAAACTTAGCAAAATATTTAAGGGGTATAAATATAAATGTTATGAAATAAAATCATTGATTTTTTTTTAAATGCATACTCAGTTATAAACTTCCTTTATTTTAATGTTTCTAATCAACTATTTGTACAGCTTATGTAGTGTGAAACCTGTGGCTGGTGTTTTTCTCGATTTCTTTAATGTTTGGTCGAATGTGCGATAAGCAGACCTTCATTTCTACTTCAGCTGAGCGTAGTCTTTTTTGCTTCTTAATTTTGATTTTATCTAGTCTCGACAAACCTAATTCCCATAAGTAAAAAGTAGAAAATTGCAATAACAGTGATAAACCCTTTTTAACTAATGTGTGACATTCCTTTTTTTTATTGAAATCCGAAATGCATCAATCTTGAGCCCTTAATAATATAAAAAAATACTTTTAAAAAATGAATTTTAAAACAAAGTATTAAAAATAACAAAATCGAAGAATAGTGAAAAGTATTATTTAAAAAAAAAATTAATACTTATTCATTTATTCAAATACTAAAACTGTATCGTTACTACTTCCACACACGTATGCCGTGACAATTACTGCGCGGCACACTTAAGAAAATCGCACTTGAGAATCACTGATCTAGGCTAATAAATCTCTCATCCCATACGCCTAAGGTTAATTCATTTGCGTTGTTGTAAAATCTAGAAACCTGAATTGCAATCTTATGTACATACACTTATATAAAGGCACCTACCGCGTAGCAATATCTGTGAATCTAGTTGCGCAGAAAACGATGAATTATTGAGCTCTATCCTTATTGGGTGACATACTATTGTTCACTTGTCTCAAACTAAGCTTAGTAAACATCTGTTTACTAAGGGGTGCTAAAAAGTTCAAAGTCCGACAAGAAGGTATTCAAAAATATCTTCCAAAGCTTGGCCATTTGGTCAGATTTGGGGAAGTGGGTCGGGCCGCGAACTTTTCGGTACACTCTCGTATATACACACACAACTATGTACGTTTGTACAGAGGTAAATTTATTTGCATTACTGTTGGAGGCTTAAAAGGGCGGTCTATGCATACATAAAAGCCTCAATATTAAAGAAGTATTAATACAATTCAAACATGTCCAATTGGACAAGTCTCTGTTTCTAAAATACGGAACAGAAGTCACAAAGCAAGACAAATATTGGTTATTTTCTCAAAAAAAAAATGATCAAAAAAAGAAAAAGAAAAAAGTTGTGAGAAAAA